GTTGTTCAATTCCTGATATTGTTATATTGAGGTGGATAGCATATATCAAATCTATGAATCCAGAATTTAAAGATATTGTAGGAAAAGAAAATTCAGTTGCAAATATGTTAACAAGAGCAAAGTATAATGATGAAGAAGAAATGATTAATTTGGAAGATAATGTAAATACAAAATTTTATACTATTGCATTATCAAGGGAAAAAGGCGTATGTTTGAATATACCATTGGAAATATTTTTAAGAGATTTATATGAAAATGAATGGAAAGATGTTGGAGAGTATTTGAGCACATTAAAGCCAAAAAAAGATTGAACAGATCAAGAATTTAAGAAAATCCGTAAGAAAGCATATGGATATTTATTACATGATGGATATTTATGGAAGTATTCAAAAAAGAAAAGAAAAGTACAACAAAGGGTGATATGTGGTTTAGAAGCTCAACAAAGGATTATTAAAGAATTTCATAAAAATTTATGGACAGGGCATTGAGGTATTTGGACAACATTTACTAAGTTAAGAGAAGAATATTGGTAGAAGAAAATATACAAAGACGTAGCAAATTTTGTAGGATCTTATGAGACTTTCCAAGTGTATTCAAATATTTGGCATCAAGATGGATTACATCCAATATAACCTTTGGCTTTACATTATAAGTGGGTAGTGGATTTAATAGCAATGCCTATGGAACTTGGACAAATGAAGTATTTGATACTTGTACAAGAAGATTTATCAAATATTATTGAAGGACGAGCATTAAAAACAAAAGATAATAAAGATATATGTCGATTTTTATTAGAAGAGGTTATTTGTCATTATGGTTGTACTGAAAAAATCATGATGGATAGGAGTGAATTGGATACAAAGGAAGCACGAGAATTCTTTAGTAGAATAAGAATTAAACTTTCTTTAATAATAGCATATAATCTAGAAGGTAATGGTAAAAGTGAGCATGGGCATTCACTTATTGTTAAGGTATTAGTAAAGGCATGCAATGGCAAAGCACATGAATGACCTAGACTACTACCATTTGTACTATGGGTAAATCGTACAATTCATAGTTCAGTAACAGGTTATATGCCTTGTGAATTAGTATATCGAAAAAAATCAATAATACCAATAGAAGATGTAGTACTTACATAAGATGTATTTCCTTGGAAGAATGATCTCAATAGAGAAGAAATTTTAGCATTAGAAATTCAATAACTAGAAAAAATACGTAATGATATTGAAGTAGCAATAAAAAAATTGAAAGAAGCAAAGGAAAAAAATAAAGAAAGATTTGATAAAAAAACATCGACTACAACCTAAGGCAATTGAAGATAGTAATTGGATAATAATTTAGGATAGTAGCTTAGACAATCAATATAGCACTATGAAGAAGTTTGCAAAGTGATTGTTTGGACCTTATATTGTCAAAAGGGCATACAACAATAGAACATATTTATTACAAGAACTTGATGGTATAGAACTAAAAGTACTCATAGCACGCAAACAAATCAAGTTATTTAAACAAAGATATTTGTTTTGATGAAGAATATATTCGAATACAAGGTATTGAGATTGGAATAGAAGAGCATATTGAAGATCAAGAATTAGACCAAGATGAAGAACATTCTACATCAACATTTGAAGAATTTTTGGCACATACTAGAGGATGCACAAATTCAGGGAGAGTGGATGTTATGATGTAATACAAATTATAGGTGAAAGAGTGAAGAAATTATTATAATTTAGGAGATCTTAGTTCAAAGATTTAGAAAAAATTATCTTAGAAATATAGTTAATAGTCAAAAGGGTAGTAAAACAAAAAGGTAGTAATGCTATTTTTTAAAAAAGGTGACTTCTACTTACTTTGTAGGACCATAAATAAAGCAAAACAAAGTAGATTGGAAAAATAAATAATATAAACATCTTAAGGAAGAAATTAAGAGTAAATTCTAGCAAAATTTACATAGAAAAACTAGATATTGATATCCAAAGAGGGCCAATTATGAATCAGGGTTGAAATCAGATCTTAAGGCACAAAACTGAGTCTTGACAATGACTCCGGGGTTCTTTTGCAAATTAAAGAGTGGAATTTGATAGCCATCTAGATAGGATTTTTATGAGCATTGGTTTTGGATGATTTGGATTTGTAATGACTTTGTAAGAGCTTTACAAAATCAAGTTTTTTTTTGGATGACTTGGATTTTGTGAAATAATATAGGGTTGACATTTTGGGCGATTTCAAGAGTTTTGTAATAGATCTACATGTAAAATTTTGTAGATTAATGGTTATAGTTGTGCTTAATATGTGTTGTAAATTTTAGCTTGATCTAATGGTTTAATTGAGGATTATTGAGGTTTAAGTGGGTCAAGGTCTCACAAAGTAGAATTTTAGATTTAGTGAGGGTTTTTAAGATTTCTTGCGATCTACTAATTGGATTGGAGTGAAATTTATGAGTAAGGATAGTAGACTTGTTTTTCTATGTATATAAAAAGTTTGAAATCAATCAAATGGTGAAAAAGAGAGATATTGGCTTTGAGAGATTGGCATCAAGGTTGGAGAAGGAAGCTGGCCAATATCCGAACACACTTTTTAGGCTATTGTTTATTTGATAAATCCGATCCTTTTCAAATTTTTTTTTGCTTGTTTTTAACTTAGTTTTTAAGAAGTGTACAAAATTTGAGTTAAGTTCAACAGTTCATTCATTAGTTATTGAGGTTTAAATCTATTGTAGAAATTACTAGGATTTGGTTAGGATTTGATTTAGGATTTAGGATTTTATTAGGATTTGATTTAGGGTTTAAGATTTTATTAGGGTTTATTTAGGGTTTAAGATTTAGTTAGTTTTTGGCCTAAAGTTTGAATGAAGTCCAATAGGATTTTAACTAGGATTAAATTAAGATTGAATTAAGATGTATATGAGATATATTTGTGATCATTCTAATATTTCTTTAAGATCTCTTATTGATTCTTTGTAATTCCTTTGAGGTTTCTTTGAATTTAATTAAAGCTTACTTAGCATTATTATACTCTAATTATAATTCAGTTAGTATTGTATTAGAGTTAGGATTTTTTTGTTACAATTTCCATTCTATCCTCCACAGCCAGGTGCCTAGAGCATTCTCAAGCAAGACTTCATGTATTACGATAGCGCCACATGGTCAACTTATTGGTTAAGTTTTTAACCTATCAATCACCTACAACAAATAAAAAGTCAAATCTACATCTACAAAACTTCTAAGAAACTTATCTACCAAATATTATTATATTTAATTACTTCTACTTACTTCTATCTAATTCTTTTAATTTAGGTAAATATATATGTCTGTGATATCATCTTCTAAAGATTTATCTATAAATATAATTTTATATATAAGAATCCTTATTTTATTAATAAATGATTTAATATTTATTTAAAATCTTACAAGTAAAGAATATTTTTCTTGTATACATAAAATTGGAGAGGTTTGTAAATTTATGATTATTACAAAGAATATTCAATGATTTTTTTTGGTCTTTTTAAAAAGATAATTTAAGATATTTTGAATTCATCTCAAGTATTAGAAAGAATATTAGAAGATTTTTTATTTTATTTTTTAAAATCTAAATTTGAGCATTTTTTATTGGAAGATCTTATATTTTGTCAATCATTTTTCAAAGAATCAATAAAGCTAATAAATAGTTTATTTTAATCTTTTAATGATAGAAGTTGTTACTTCTAAACTTTTAAATAACTTCTCAACATTTTCTTTTACTTATAGCCATAAATAATAATAAAATATGTATATATTTATAATAATTAAAGATAATTTGAATTTAAATATAATATTTTTTTATGGATGGAAATAGAATAATAGACTATTAAGTACACTCATATGACTACAATGTAAATAAATTGTAATAAAATTCTATTATCTTTAACCTCAATTCTTTTTATAATGCTTTACAACAAGATAAAAAGAAATAAGTTTACAAATCAATCCTAATTTCAATTAGATATCTTATTTTATTATAAATTAACCTTTATTATCTCAAGATGGATTTAAAAATTTAAGTTTGTTTTATCATTTGAATTATAAAGTTCAATAATCAAAGATCTAAATCAACAAAGAAAAAAAAAAAAAAAAAAAAAAAAAAAAAAAAATGGTATTTCAAAAATTGTCTCTTAGTTATAAAACATACATCATAATTAAGTGCATTAAAAAAATAATAAATAATTTTTATGTCTATATCTACAATTTATTATTTGTTATTCATTAAATAAGATCAATTAATAAATAGTATTTATGTCTATAATAATATGTATATCTATATCTAAAAGTTAGAAGTTCTAATTCCTAACAATAATAACAATAAGGTGATTTATTCTTTAATAAATACAAGAACATGATGATCTATTATTTATAAAGTATTACAACACTATGGACTTCAAAGCATTTCAAAAAGTACAAAAAATATATGTATAGATCCATAACCTATTAAATAAAAATAATTAAAAAAAAACTTGGAAACCAAAAATTAACAAGGTTGTGCACAAAGAAAAGTGTGCAATAAGATGAGTTGTAATTCCAACACTTTTTACATATAAGAAGAGATTACATTTGATATAAATGTATTTCATCTAAAATTATTCTTAAATTACATTAGTTGACCTTATTAAAGCCTAGCAACCTTCAATCTTAGCTACAACCTTGGGAACTTGTTTATATCTTGTAAGAATTAACATATTAGTAAGGTTAAAGTCTAAAGTGGTAACTAACATAGAGTTGTTTTTGTTTCTTAACCAATTTTCGGTTTCAAAATAATATAATGAAAAGAATCAAATTAATATAAATTATTTAATACTAAATCAGTGTAGCAAACAAACACATAATAGACTTGAGTTCAATTAAAAATTTGACACACATGCAGTAACTGTTGCCAACATTTTTATTTTTATTCTTTTGTAAAATAAGATCAATTTTCACTGCCATGTCTCATCATGCACACATGCTGATTGTAATATAATGTAAGGATAGAGAGCAAAAAGCACCACTTTGCATTCACATGGACCACAAATGGACATTTGAGAGTGAGGATGCACAGAGAGCAATGGAGTAGTGGCGGGAGGGAGGGAGGGACTGTCTCTCTCTCGCTCTCTCTCTCTCTGTGTCTGTCTTTCTGTCTGTATTGAGTTCTTCCTTCCTTCCTCAGCTGTGCCTATATTTGCATGTGTTCATACTGCTCTGCCTCACATCCATGCATCCTCCCTCCTCGCGGACAAACGGGACGGGACGGAGGAGGGGCGGGGGAGGGAGGCCACCACATTCCTCCCTTCTCTCTCGCGCTCGCTCTCTCTCTCTCTCTCTCCCCCGCGAGTCCGAGTCAGTCAAACCGCACTTCCTCGCGTTTCTGCAGGGTCTGCAACGTCTGCTGAATAGCCGCCCCTGCCACCACGTAGTCGGGCCGGAGTCGACGTCGGAACAACTGCGTTTGTCGCCCGGTGTCATCCCTGTGCAGCACCCAGTGAGTGGGACTTGGCACCTTCGCCTCATACGCGTGCATACTGTAGCCTGGAATCACAACACCCAACAGTGTATTCTCCTCTCCTGTAGTCAAGTCGTACACACACGGACTCCCACCAAAACGCTCTGCATTTATTTGAACAAATAACGCCCGAAAAGCAGCCCGAGCTCCTACGACGACGTTGAACAGGCCCTGGTCTACATGGGGGTGAAAGAATTTTAGCTCCTGCACAGTCAGCTTGCTACTGCTCCAGGCTTCCCCTTTCTCTAGATCCACACCCGGATGCAGATCAAATGGATCATGTTGCCTGGCGCTCATGTAAGACCTAAGAAGCATGTCGCCGAGAATGCACGCTTCTCTCCAGTCCAACTCCTTCTCTAAGTCAGATATCACGAGCACCCCACTCGTCTCCTGCAATGCCCGTCGTGCTATTTGTAGCCATACTTCTGGATCTGTTGATTGGATAGAGACCACCGGCAGCGCAGACTTCACTTCAGTTCTGCACATGAGAGCATCGAAATCTAGATTGATTAGCTTCACGTGTCCAGCACAACGTCTTGCGACAAAAATCTAGAATTTTCTTGCATTCCACAGATTTGGAAAGGAACAGTGAGGGGCGATTCTTCCTCAGAGGTTAGGCTACGATTTTTGTATATGGTGAATAGCTTACATGGTTCCGTAACTCTGTTCTGCTTGAGAGGTAACGCTCCACGGCCAATTTGCCATTCTCAAACTCGCTACACGACTTCAAACAGTTTGCAATGTTAGAAATACCCACCAGATTCATCATTCAGTTGCTTCAAACCAGCAAGTTATAGTACTAATCAAAACCACTGCGGCAGCTCACTACAACCAAAAGAATCGTCATCAACTTTAGACACGAACGACCACAAAATTAGTTTACTTAGAGCATAGTCACTGCAAGCTCTCACATTGATCGCTGAATTTCAGTATTCATCTGAATTTGTAAGTGCTATCAAAATAATCAAAACTTGTTTAGTAAGCATTTTTGAATTTGACATATAAATATATGCAAATCAAATTTTTGTTAGTTATAAAGAAAATTTTAAAAAAAATTGTAAGATTAATTGAAAAAATTGAAATAGTTCCTTATACCCTTATTCTATTTTTATTTATTTATTTTTTTTTTGATAACATGTATGCATTGTAAGAAAACATTACAAGTAGTATTGTAGTGCTTCACAATAATAGAAAAAAAAGAGTAATATCATTGTCAAAAATGTTAAGTTAGGAGACAAAGAGATTAAGAAGTATAAAAAAGATTAAGATGTTAGGGGGTCTTTATATAGGGGAAAGGAAAGTGAGAAGCCACAATTCTTAATCTTTTCATTCATTAAAAATTAAAAAGCCTCACTTGATTGATTGTATACTTAAGAAAATTATTCTAAAGATTTGACGATGAAAAAATAAAATAGAATGTATCCTTTTTTATATATGACACAAGCAATGTTTATTTTTCTAATATTTGCAATAGATCAACCTCAGGAAGTAGTTTTAACAAAAATTAAAGAATCCATATTAAAAATTATTTAAAATAGCTATTATAAAAATTAAAAAATAGATATATATATATATATATATATATATTATAATTATTGGAGTCAAAATCTAAATAGACATACTTATAGCTATAATATAAAATGGTTTAGTTTATTTTAAAATTTCCTCTCACTTCATACTATCTCTACATGCCAATTCTTTCAAAAATGATTTCTTATTTACAAAACACATAATCTTTGTAAGATTCTTCTACCAAAATTTGTATAACCAAGACTAAGATATTCTTTATCATCCCTATTTATTTTTACATATAAAAATTATATTCTATAATAACATCTAAAAAAGATAATTAGGTTTAATTTCAACATATAAAGTATTGATTAGGTTTCTTTTCAACACAATAAATTGTTGAGTGTTAAAAATGTTTACAATACTTAAAAGCAGACAGTATTGCATTTATTAAAAATTAAAAAACTAATGATTAAACATTACATTGATACAAAATGTTAATTTTAATTTTTTATTTATTTAAACCATTTATAATCTTAAAGCTCAGAAAGGCTGAAGGTGTTTGAATATCTGAAACATGTGTCTTTCTTCTTAATTATTTTTACTTTTCCATTCAGAAAATCAATCAAAAATAAAACCGCACCATCTCACCTCAAGAGTTGACCCAAAACGTCAACAAGCTAGGTTTTCATCATAATATGTGGCGATAATTGTTATTCATGGTGGTCCAAATCCCTCAAGAAGTTGGCTGGTGTGTAGTAATTTAAGATGGGGCAGTGCAAGTTAGTGATTTGCAAGCAGTTCGTTGAAAGACAGACATGTAGGCTCAGTTGTGCAGAGCGAGTCATGTGGCATCCATCAGTCAGTCAGTCACCCTGGGTTAGACTGAGAGATGGGGGCTGTGGATGGGGATGGGGACGTGAGTAGCGTCGACCTCTCTTCTTCGTCTTCTTCTTTGCAGCCTGGGTCTCTCCGCACTTTAATTCCATGCTGTGTCTGTCTGACTGTCTTTCTGTAGTTGGTTCGATTCACATGTGGTGCTTCATTGCACGTCCTGTGGAAGGACATTTGTGCCTTGATCATGACCTGGGGCTCTCCGACGTGGCACTGGAGTGTGCATGTCATCCGGTTGCGTAAGATGTTGCATTCTTGTCTCTGTGATGTGCCAGTCTTTTTTTTACATTCCATGCCAGTTTTGTAATCCGCGAATTGTTTCCTTACCTGTGGGTTACGATGGGAGATGTCCTCCTCGATGGGCTTCCCTCTAACGAGATATCAACAACCAGTAAAATGAGTGCAGAGCCCGTTGCACACCCATCATCTCATGCAACACAAGCACAGGCTGGTTCACACGCACTCTTTCACTGACTTAAGAAATCTACTCAATTCAGTGTTCTTTTTATAAAATGAGGAGGCAAAATCGTCCTATCACACGAATCTCTTTAGCCAACTGCATGGGCATTCTCGCTAAGTATCCTACTGTACTAGAATACAAAATCATCACAAGTTGACTACAATATCATCACAAGTTGATTCTCAGTCTCCGAGACGTTGGCGGTGCAACTACTTCTGCTACGGTTAGCTTGCGCGTCTTACCGCTAGATTCAAACAAAAGGATCGATACGAGGGTCGTGTTCACTCGCCAACGCCATTCCCGTGCACAAGCAGGTCGGACACATCACCTGCAGGCAAGGCGTGTTTAAATGCACACCATCAGGCATCTAGAGTAGGAATTCTTCATGGCTAATCTGGCAAACCTCTGTATTCGATCGACATGGAAATTAAATTTGAAGAATGGAGAATAGTGGTACCTTCGCAGCTCCTGAACAATTCGGACAACGTTGTGTGGTGGGTGCTGGTAAAGGCCGGTCATCGACCCCGATTGATGCAACAGGCTCAGCCACGATGAGTGATCCAGATCCCGAGCATCGAGCGCAAGCCAAATAACCTGGACCCAGCAATCTCCTCAGTCTTCAGGTTGCAATGCAAATTCTTCATAGTGTGAATATTACAAGCCTTCTGCATTCCGGATTATATTGATGAAAATAAGGTAATCGTGGTACTAAATGTAAGTCATACCTGTTCCATGACAATACCGGCAACGCTTATGTTCTTGCTGTTTTACATTGTTGATCTCCACAACCATGAGCGATGAAATCACTCCTACAGCTCCTCCAGAGAATGAAGCCACAATTGGATCCACTTCACTGCACAACCACATCAAAACTAAAAATGAATTTTTGACTATCTTCTCATCCCGGAACAAATTGGCGGAGATTACACTGCTTGTATGCATTGGCACAACTTCGAAGATCGGAGTCAGCTTGAATGAATGCCGAGGATGTACCTCAGCTGGAGCGGTAGATGCATGCTGCGGATAAAATCCTCATAAGACGTACCCCCCAATCCAAGCTTCAGCTCTAACTGCTCCGAAGGAATTTCGCAAAAACATTCGGGAAGCACCAACATTTAGTCAGTTGATCTGTTGAAAGATCACGAAGATAGATCCGGGCGAATAAGTGGCAGATGAACGAGTTGTACGGCACAAAAGAATGGCACAAGACTTACAACAGGTGCGACTAAACCACCGAAGAGGATGATGATGGACACCAGTACCAGGCACGTCGCATAGTACTGCTTCAATGTTGCCGTTGTCTGCAATGCATCTAATTGTCAGAAAGTTGATATTCTTTTGCTGAATACGTCTTGACACAATCTACGACCAGTGATTCTATGCAAGCTACAACATGGCCAATTCACAGCCAATGCAGGGGTGACATGGAACAATTCCATTTGAATTTACACAGACGTTATACCATCGTACCAAAGGCGGGAGAAAGGGAATTGATGATGGATATTCAGGCATTTCCTCGTTGTCATTGCTAGGATCATTTGAATCCAAACCCTGCTCTGCACTTTTGATCCGCTGTTGGATTCGTAATCTCCTCACCTACAACATACACAAGTCCACAAGGCAAAAGTGTTTCAAGAGAGTCCGTCGTTGCAACCTTTACGGGAAGAGCTGAAAAGTGCTTTTTAGACGTGCAAGCGCTCCCTCATATCACGTCGTAAAGAATTCAAGCCATCCTCCTTCCTTATCATTCAGAGGCGTGGCGCAAAAATGCAATCACCTGGCAGGCAACGTAAGGGGCCTGGTTGCTGGTCATTAGAGAACGGTGGAAAAGCAGTACCAGAAGTAGATGCAGTTTATACCTCTTCCATGAGAAGGAATATTTTATTGCGACGGCTTGTAATGTTGTCACGAATTTCTTGCAGCTGCATTTTGGAAAAGTCAAGAACAGTGTTTCGTCCTTCTATAATGCAAAACGCCTCGGTATCCTCAACCCTGAAATCCAAGTATCATCCCGCCCCACTTCATTTCAAAACCTTCTCCTGTACTGGTAAGGAAATACAGCCAGATGTCCAGACTGTCAAGACGTGAGCCAGTATTTAACATCCAGACTTTAGTTAAAATTTATGGGATGTCGACTTCGGTAAGTGATTTTAGAGTGTGACACCGACGAAACGACTGAGATCTGTGAGGCAAGTCTAAAAAAAATTCGGTCACCCGAAAAGCTGAGAGAGAAGCCAGACTGACCTGGAAGTAACATCTTGCGAGCTTTGACTCTGGTTCTCCTTGCCGCCTTCACTAACATACCCATTGCCAGCCATAGCTCTCCGCTCTCTTTTCCCGTTAAAATTCCACTCTATTTTCCCTTCCCATCTTTTTAACCCTGCCCTCGCGGTGCTGGCACGGCTCTGCTCACCTGATGTGGAGGGTAACGCCTTAGGTCGCAGGGACAAGGATTGCCCCCCACCAAACTGCAATCTCAACATTATGACTAACAAGTGCAAGTTGTCACTAAAGTCGATGTCTGTCTATCATTCAAGAAACCTTCGTACTCAACAACTCTAAACACTACAAGAATGATTTCGAAGCTCCACACCCAATAATATTTCCTCGAAAGGGTTTCAAATGCATCAAACAGCTCTTGAGCAATCAGGCAGCTCAGAGAATAAGCTTCTACTCCGAGAAACTATCTGTACACAAGGATCCGAGAATGGCGTGCAAGTCTTCACAAATGGTGAAGCTCCAATGGGCGGTGATGTTGCCGACTTAGCTCTTCCGAAACTTTGAGGAAGGAAAAATTGCATCGCGCGCAAAACACGAGATCGCTTCCTTACTCGGAAATCCACGATACCCAATTCTGAGCTGATATTTGAGATTCCCTTAGCAGCTGGAATGTAGGTCACCTTGGTGGGTACCACCCAACCTTGCGCAAACAGCACGAAATTTGCACAAAATCAGCACATTGATGCATCAACGCTAAATGATGAACACACGTGACACATAGATTGGCGTCCACGAAGAATACTTTTCATGAGGGAGGGACAACCTCAAACTGTAGAGCACCATGGATGGTTCATCGTATGGTTCACAATCAAGGTGCACAGCAAAAGCTGTCTGCGGTCTGACGAATGAAGAAACCCTTCACCACGGAGGGGAGCGCGGAGATGGATACGGAGAAGATGTGGATAGGGGGAATTTCAGGGACGGATGGGTTCAATGTCCTCTCTGATTCGTCCTGTCAACTTGGCTTTACAGCATTACTGGTCGTCTTTCAACTCTGGTCAGGGATGTAAAGGAGACAAAAATCGATTCAATCGTCACTCACCTTTATTGTTGTGAAAGATGAGCTTGATAATTCACTTCAGCGCGGACTAAAACTAGACAGACATTGGTGACACTTCTTTGCTCTCTATTTCTCCTTATTCCTCTTAGAATAATAGCCCTTACTGGTGAAATATGTTGGTGGGGTTTTTGAGGCGTTCAAATTGAATCGGAATGCCCAGGGCAACAAGTGTATCACAGATCTTTATTTACTCATTCTCCATGGTTATCCTCACCAATGTTATTGAAATTCATTTTAGATTTGATAAACTTAATTTAGAGAAATAGTGAGATTCATCTCCAAAAGTCAGGATTTTATAATTGTTATGTCATACCTAATTTTAGTAATTACGAGAGACTGTGGATATTGCTTCAAAACTATATCAAAGAAACTGCAAGAATGTGATAAGTGGAAAGCTACGGCTTGTCCTTTGCAGAGATGAAAACCTCAACAAATCACACGATACAAGAAGTTAACCCGCACTAAAGCGCACTCTGTCCATGGCCAGTGAATCTCCCCAGGTGGAGGAGAGCAGTAGGGACTAGAAATGCAGCAGACACGATCTCGAGAGAGAATTTGCAGCAAGTATCCACACTTCTTACTGCCGCTGCACTGCAATCAGACCAATACCATACTCTTCCTTACCCCTTATTCTCTTTTGCTATCAGTTAGCTGCTTTGGATATGTCCCACTGTGCCACCTGCCTATGTCGATTCTTTCGCTTTGCTGTTTTTCAAAGCTTCGCTGAAACAAGAATTCTGTGACTGCATTGTAGCTGTACGATGTGATTTTTCGTCTACAGAAAGAAGCACGAACGTTATTCCGATAGTAAAAGAATGGCTCTGAAGTGCGGAAACGGACATACTTTTTCAGTTGTGTGCATGTTTTCCAACACCGTACTGAAATCTGCAATTCGTCGCTCGTTAGTCCAAAGTCGTGGCATATCGAATTCTTCGAGGGTTAGGAATACTCTAAGACTTGCCTTCAGTGGCGAGACATCTGATGTCCTTGCTTTCGCTCCTTGTGTCATGAAGTGTTTGGATCATGAGGCCAATTTACGAGGGCACCGAGTACTCACTGCTGATGTGTTTTCCGGAAGAATTGAAGGCCTATCCAAACTACCTTCTACTTGTTCACAAGATTCATCGCCAGCTTATACTGCTGCTATGGATTGTTTTATTGCACATTAGCGACCTCAAAGCGCTTAAGACCTCAAAGATAGAAACGATCGTGACGAGTGTGATTTCAAGACTGAGTGTCGGTCCGCTCCCGCAGCATTGACATTGCAAATCTGTTCATAGTTGGACACAAATTCCTGCTTTTTGATTGGAACGCCTCTCGTCGTATGAAGACATTGTACAACTTGTAATGTAACCAAAACGCTGAGGAAATCGACCGCCATTTGAGAGAAAGTTCCCCACTGGCAACAGAGCGGGTGATAAAAAGAAACGAAGCGCAGTTCATGGGAGAGAAGGCGAGAAGGAGATATTCGGACCAACGAGTTGGTGAAAAAGGAGGAGGAAGAGGAGGAGGAGATTGACACCACGGCAAGCCAAGTCAAGATTAGTCATTCATTCATTCGTTGCTTTAGAGGTTAGTTGCACATTAACTCTCACAGTAGTAATTGGGGATATTACTATTGCCACCCAATATTTCACATATATTCTTTTTTTAGTTTCTGTTTATTTTAATAAAAATTCTACTGTTATTTCTGATATTTTCTATTTTTAAAATTTAATACAAAAATTGAGTTCAATTTTAATAAATAAAATCATTAATAACAATAATAATAAAATTAATACATAATATGTTTTCTTTTTCTTTTTCTTTTTCTTTCTCTTTCTCTTTCTCTTTTTCTATTATTAAAAATATATATACATATATATATAATTGAAAATAAATGATATTTATTCTCATTTGACATAGATTAAGAGTGTAGGTGGTATATGGTAGATGGGATGTATTGTTGGCAATAGCAAAAATTGTAGTGGCATTAGCATAACTCTTAATTAGACATTGTTCAATAGTAACATTATCCAAGGCCACTTTGGAACCATCCAACAAATTTGGGACATAGATGGATGGATTGCACTCATCCAACAAGAGCAATTAAAGGAGTTGGAAGCATTTGTTAAAATAATTTGTTTAAAATCTTAAAATTTATTTTTAAAATAATTATAAAATAAGTTTTAATATATACTAATTAGGAGGCGGAATCTTAAATTTTCAAAGACTCTAAAGAATATAATTTTTAATTTTAAAAATAATTTATCCATATTTTTTTCTTCAACATGATATATTAAGAAATTTAAACAAACAATTAATTGAAAATCTTCTATACATTTACAAAGGTGTTGTAGAAGTGCTACAATAGAGTTTTGTAGAACAGATTTTGGCACTAAATGTAAAAGTTCAGACATCTTTATAAATGTACATAAATTTAATTTGAATTTATAAAAATGAAATTATATGAAAATTTAAATTTTAAAATTTAAATATCATAAAGATTATAATTTAAAAAATTTATTATAACTATTGATGATTTATTGTTATAATATTATAATATCAGATTAGTATATATTTTTTTGAAGAAAATAAATATATTTTTTTCTTGAATATATTTTAAAAAAAATTATATATTTTTATGGGAAAATTTCAAACGTACCCCTGATATTTCTTGAAATATCAAGAATACCCCCATATTCTTGATAATAGCACACATACCCCTCAAAATTGTCATAATATCAAATCTACCCCTATATGTGTGATAACTTATCAAAAAATTGCCAATTGTGCATTGGGGTGGGCCCAAGCCGCGGCCCGTTTCTGCCCTGTTTGTCCCTTTCTGCACTGGTGGCCCGACTTTATTGCTGCGGCGCGCATTGTCTGCCGCGGTCCGCGCTGCCATCCCCACTTTTCTCAGATTCTCAGGAGTTCATTCACCTACCCATTCTACTCAAACTCCCTCAATTGTGACCTATTATGGGCATCAAGATTAGATAGTAGATTTGGAAACCAATGAATCAATCCACGTTATGACATCGAACTATTTAGTATCTTTTTCACTACGGGGATAGTCTACAAGGCAATGAGGAGGTGCTGCAAGTACCGTGTTTGCAGTACCGAGTTCTACCCCCAGTGAACATGCTGGAATGTTGTACAACCGATTTGCATTTTAAAAAATATATATATATATATATATATATATATATATACATATGAATGATTTGGTGGATTTTGATTGGTTATTGGACAAAAAAATCTTATATCTCAGTGATGCAATAATCCTATTCAATATGTTGAATTAGCATCATAAAGTAAAGATGTTGATATCAACACATTTTAGATCAATGTCAAATCTACATTGACATAATGGAGGTTTTATAATAAAATAAAAAACATATTAAATATAAATCAATGTATAGATAATTGCAAAAATAATTGACTTGTAAAAAATAATTCAACAATTTATGACCAATATTAATAGTTATTCTGAATGAAAGATTTTATTTATCGAATCCTATTTTACAATGAATAATCTTTTTGCATTGGTAAAAAATTGTAGAAAAAAATAATTTGTCTCATGCACCTATATTTTAGTTGAAAAATAAAGAAGTGTTTTGAAAGTCCTAGATTACAAAATCTAGTCTTGTTTATTGTTTGCCACAAAGCCATATTTATAAAAATTCCTCTAATTTCAAATTAAAATAAATTGTGACACACAAAGTAATTTAGATATAATTTGAATATAGAATTTTTGGAATGAATTTTAATAATATAAAATTAATGCATTTAAACTTCTTTTAATATTTGCAACACCACATGTATAAAGAAATTCATCTAAAATTTGTGTAAATCATGTAGAATTTTGCATGATAGAAATAAATTTGTTCTAGACATGTAGGTCATATTGTCAAAATTGTAAGTTCTTTTCATTTGTAGACACCAAAGATTTTATTAAAGAATAATTGAAAGAAAATTTAAGAAAATAAAATAAAAACTAAAATTATATTAAAGACATGAACTAGAAGAGGATGCATAAACTTGAGAAATTTGTATAAAAAAAAAAGTGACAAAATAGAAATAAAGTGGTATGTATATTAAAAGAAAACTAGAATACCTATTACTTAAAGAAAAGGAAACTAGAGACTCTTAAATCTAAATTAAAAGCAAGAAAGAAGTTGACAAGAGTGAAGAAGACTTCACTCTTGCCTCTATATATACTATCTACTTAAGATCTATATGGCGACGTTCTATAGGACCTCCAAAAATATGTTGACTTTGTATGTTACTGTCACGGCCATAATCATGTAAGCTAATAATTACATATAGAAATAGGTAGAAGTAAGTAAAAGTAGATAAAAGTAAGTTAATTCTATAATATGTAATATAGAAGCTTCCTAGAAACTTCCTAGACGCTGCTTTGACTTCATAGGTGTCTTTAATTGACTTTTTGGATTAGAAACGTGGTCAACAAGTTGGCCATGTGCCACACATGTTGTTAGCTTGAAGATCAAGCTAACTATGTGGCCCACACGTAGAAAAACTTGCCTTGTAAGTCAAAGCATGTGTCCTACAAAGTCTACACATATTGGAGGTCCTATAGAA